ACACCACCATAATTGACAACCTGGGTTCTGTTAGCGAGGTAGCTTTGTAAAAAGGCTAAAGTAGGCCCACAAATTCCCAAGGAATTAAGTTTAGCATACAAAATAGAGAGGTTTACAGTGTCGAAGGCTTTAGTTAAATCTATAAATAACGCCCCTGCTAAGAGCCCCTTATCGATGGACTGTTTTATGCTATCTGTTAGTTTAATCAATGCTAATTTGGTAGAAAACTTAGTAGAAAGTTAAATGTTGTTAGGTAGTCCATTACGCAATTCACAATGAGCTTCTCAATTACCTTACTAAAGAATAGAAGGATTATTATAGGGCGATAATTAGAAAAAAACTTTTCGGTCTCCCTTTTTGAATGCAGGTATTACTTTTCCTTGTTTGAGGATTGTAAGAAAAATGCCTGAACGAAATGCGGTGTTAATAAGCTTTGAGAGCACAGAAGATAACTCACGAGCAACAAGTTTGATTTTAGCTGGATAAATTGAATCGAGGCCACATCCTGTCGTCTTCAAACTTGTTATAGTGCAAAGAACCTCAGCAGGTGACGTGGGTTTTAAGAAAAAAGAGTGAGGCAAGCGACACAACGAAGGAAAGTTAGTGACAGTCGATACTGAGTTGCTGAAAAATGATTCATTAAAAGAATTGGCGATAGTGACAGGGCAAGTTAGAACGCTGGTGCCATCCGAAAATTCGGTCTCAAGTGCATCTGGCTGATCAAGATGTAAGAAATTCCTTAATTACGTTCCAATTTTTCCTACTGTCTTTCCCGTTTTCGAGCACTTTATTTTGATAGTAGGTTTGTTTGGCTTTTTTGAGTAGGACAGTAAGAGTTTGTGAATAGAGTTTAAAGCGGTTCCTGAGGGACAGGTTGAACGGCTGAAGTTTTACTTTTTTGTAAAGGTTATCTTTTTTATTTATGCTACGCAGCAGTCCTCTTGTAATCCACGGGTTTCTAGGGGCTGAGTACCAACGCGTTATGATGGATACAGATGTACACGAGTTTATGATATCTGTTAGTTTCTCACTCGAGGTACTAAACGCTTTATTAACACAAGGTTCTTGCGATAGTTTCCCCCAGTCAAAGCGGGATACCAAATCAACGAATTTCGCAGAATCGAAACGACACCCGTTGACCATTTTATTTTTACAATCGGTTTGTGTTTTTATTAACAGAAAAAATGGATAATGATCTGTTAGATCAAAATTGACCACACCGGCCTCCTGAACTGACATAACGTTACTGAGTATTTGGTCAATAAGCGTGTTCCGACCAGAAGGAGCACATAGTGTCGGAGAATCCAGCAGAGATGTCAACCCATGACCCATAAAGCAGTTAGAGTATTGAGCACAAGAACCATCGTTAATATCTGTAATGTCAATGTTAATGTCGCCTAAAATGATCACGTTATATTTTCCGGAAATAAACGAGCTTAGTATATTATCAAGCTCAACACAAAAGTCACCGTAAGATGATGATGGGGACTGATAAATTGAACCAATGATAGTTTTTTTGTTAGACGGAAGGAAATCACGGTCAAATTTGAGCCAGACTGATTCACATTTCGACACAGAAAACGCGATATCAGTACGTCGTTTATATGACAATGCGTTAGAAAAGAACATGGCTGATCCACCATGATGTCACCGAGGCGATGAAAAAATTCAGCACGATAGCCCGGAATGGAAAACATGTTACCATCAGCTGCAGATAGCCAAGTTTCTGATAGACATATGAACGAAAAGTGATGATCGGTTAAAAAAAGGAAATTAACCATATCATCAAAGTTTTTCGGTAAGCTTCGGGTGTTAAAGTGCATGATTGAGATATGAGAAACAAACGAACTAAGAAGTTGCTTCAGTTCGAGGACAGTGTGTGTCGCCATGATGGTTCACAATCATCATGCCTAAATGCTTAAATGCTATTTGGAAAAAACGGCCAAATCACTAACACCAGAGATGCGGTACACTCGGCTGTCCGTGGACTTTCTTGCTTTGATGCGGCAGTTGTCAACCCATAGAAACTGCCACTGCTTTTCTTTCTTAAGTGCCAATGCCTGAGCAAAGACTCGCTTGTTCTCTGGTGCTAGGTGATCGTTGACAAATATGGGCTTATCCTGATTCATCATGGCGATATACCGGGTTGTCAGACGCGCTTTTCTGGCCTTTGAAGCAAATTTAATCTTTTTTCGTCGTGAACAAAAACGCGCAATAATATTCGAGCCACTTTTAGCGGAGACCCTATGCACCACATCTATCTCAGCAGGGCTCACAGGACAACCAATCTTATCTGCGATCTGTTGCAGAATTGCTTCACAGCTTTCGCCTTTTGTCTCCGGAACACCTTTAATTTCAACATTGTTCATGCGCGAATATTGCTGCAATTCAGCAACCTGTTTTGCTAGCGGCTCGTTTGTTCGAGACTGCTCTTTATTTTCTTTAACCAGGCTTTCCTGCTTAGACTTCATTGTTTCAAAGATGTCATTAAACATGGCGACACTGTTACGCAACTCTTCAACTTCTTTGCGTAATGATTCCAAGTCTCTAGATAGCTCAGCACAAGAGGGCATTTTGGTTTGGCAGCAGAGGGTGCGGCAAAAAAGAAAAGTGAAATTGTTTCCAGTAATGGAAATTCAACCAACCTGCGCACGCAAGAGAGAATGCAGTCAGCGCAATGCTTAGTTAATGTAGATATACGGCTGTAGTTATTGTAGATATACGGCTGTAGTTACGAAATTCTCTATTATCTCTTCTTTTGTGTATCGGTGCAAGTCAGGCTTTTTTCTTGGCATTTATTAAGGCGGTAAGTTTTCTTGGCAATTTAAAATGTACTGAAAAACATGACGTTGTATAGTTGAAGTCTATTGCATTGAATGCGATGCTGACGTTCCTACTCTTTATGGTGTGTCAGTATTTATTTTCGAGTTTAGCGTGTGAGTGGGACGTCCTGGTTTTGCTGCAAGATAGTATGATTGAAGTAAAAGGCAGCATAAATAGAGATATTGAGCACAGATCTCTTCCTTAAAGAAAAAGAAGAGATCATATGAAACGGCGTGGCATAAAGTGAGCTGAGAAAAAAAAAAAGTCACAGCTTGGCCGCAAAGGCGAAGCGATGAACGCTATAGCGGCAAATTAGAAGGTCACGCGCATAATGGCAAGCAGATTGAAACGTGCCCTGCGTTTCTCACACATTAATGACGCATGAAACGTACTCACAGGTAAGATGAACGCGGATAAGCGTCTTAGTTGTTCCTTCGCTGTGTTTGAAAAGTGCGCATTTTCACAAACAGAGGCAGTGCAACGATTGCAGTGACTTTCTGCGACCCCGTAACTACAACAAAATCATTCTAGTGCAAGCCCCACGCCAGCCAAGACGTATGATCCTCCTCACCGGGAGATAAGGGTGCGCAAGAGATCGTTCACTCCCCTCCTCTAGTACGCGTGAGAGATTAAAGTCGCCACACGCTCATTTCGCCATCTTGCTGATAATACTGAAAGCACGATAGCTCTCCCCCCAGAAGCCCGCCAACAGCCACTCACACCACAACACACACCACACACCACAACACACCTCGCGGCGCATATATAAGAATATATGGATATAAGTAATAATATATATTATACATAAAGATATAGTATGTATATAGATATATATATAGATATATATTATTATACGCCCTGCTTGACATCTACGCCCACGCCCACGCCGCCGGAAATGTCCATAAAATTACTATCGCAATAAAAACCTGGAGCATTTCTTGGAGGTCTTCAATAAATGCCAAGAACAGGAAGACACTGGTGACAATCTGGAATTATGCGCCTCTTGCTGGAAGAACTACTCACTCTACAAGTCTAGTCATCCCTATTGCTGTCGTGCAACAAATATTGCACAGACAAAAGCACGAGGGTGCTGTTCTTTTTCATCGCAGAAGATTCTCACATTACATTCACGGCAATTCACAATTCCTTTACGGGGTGATTCAAATCGAAAACATAGATCCCAATCTGTAAGAGGCAAACCGAAATTTCACTTCTTCACTCGACATCAATCTACGTTTCACTCAACACCGGCCACAGCGAGCTATATAGATTTTAGTCGAACTAAGTTGTTGAAGTTTTTCAGGGATGTGAGCACAATATAGAAAAGAAATATTGCACCAGGCTCCAACTATATTGTCAATAACAAAAAAGCGAAAACTGCGGTTTTCTCGGTCTCTAGTAAGGTGGACTTGGCTCTTTCAAAAAAAAATTAGAACGTTCCATATCGTTTGTGGCAGAATATAGCTATGCGCAGAAGCAGTATAACTAGGACTTCAAAAACAGAACAATTTGCAGTCCACTATGGTACGCAGGCTCCCTTTGCTTATTAAGCTTTACTTTTTATATATTACTGCCTGTCCTAGTCTATAATATTGAGAGCTGTAGTGTTTAAGTTAAGTTGAGTCATTGGCATTATTGCAGTGGGTTGCGTTGAAAATGACCCTGTTAAAACATTTTCCCACCAGCAGTATGTGGACATTGTTTTTACTATGCGCTGAAAAGCCAGTGTTTGTCAGTGGGTAACATAGCTGGACTCGAAAAAAAGTTGGGCTATTCGGTGGATCATGCTTGAGATGTACACAGCGCAAAAAATAGAGGCCAGGACTGAACAAAAGACGACACAGGCGCTGAGCTCAAAACTATAACTCGACTGTGTCGTCTCTTTTTCAGTCCTTGTCTTTATTTTTCCGCTGTTTTTACATCCCAAGTATAAGGTGGGCGAGTTTCCCTGGCAAGGCGTTTTGCACTCGTAGGTTTCTTTTCCGAACCAGCAAAACAATCACCATCTGACAGTATGTGGTTTCATTACTCATCAAATGACGAAATCGGCCAATTCCCTATGCTACAAAAAAAGTATACTAACCTTATGCGGGTGAAAACATGCAAGATATGACAAAAACTCATGGGGTTCCTTTTGCATTTACGTAAATAAACATCGAAGCCGAAAGATGGCTCACCCTGATCCACGAAAAATGGTGATGTAGTCCCTTTCCATGGAGCGTGGTATGAAACGTACGCAAGTCTTGCTTTCGATTTCTTCCATCGCCTCCTGAATCATCTCAGTGTGTCGACCTGTGGCACAGCACATCAAGGAAGGGGAAAAAAGTAAAGTACCTTATTCAAAATGAATTGCGCTAGATCGATCTTTCCTAGCACTCTAAGCCTGCAGCGTTAGCTTTTCCGCAAAATCAGCGTGCAGTAATAGATTGATTGATTGATTGATTGATAAGTGGGGTTTAACGACCGAAAACCACCATATGATTATGAGAGACGCTGTGGTGAAGGGCTCCGGAAATTTCGATTACCTGGAGTTCTTTACCTGAGCTCACGGGCCTACAGCATTTCCGCCTCCATTTAAAATGCAGCCCCGGCAGACGGGATTAGATCCCGCAACCTGCGAGTCAGCAGCCGAGTACCTTAGCCATTAGACAACCGCGGCGGAGCGTGGAATAATAGGTAGCTGGAGTTGTGCTTCGCAGTTCAACTCACCATGACACGACCACCCAACAATTTTCGGCTTTCAATGAGAAAATATGGCGGAGCTATTGTGCCTACACATATATACAACATGCGCTGCAAAATACTATTTCAGAGTAAAGGGAGCTCTAGGAGCTACCGGCTATGCACCCCGCCTACCACTGTGGATCGCCATCTTGACGCCATGACTGTGACGTCATGCACAGCACGCAATGGTCTTCTACACAGGTTTCTCTCTCTTCGAAAGATTTGCTTTGAATGCTAAGGTGAGTAAAAATGAAATAGCTCGTCTTTAGGTGCAGCCGACCGCACAACAAAAGTCTTTGGCTGTATGGAGACGCACGCACAGCAACCAGATCGCGAGTGCGCCAGGGTTCTCCGACTCTGGGATTGCTCACAAGATTATAACTGCATTCAAATAAAAACTGCGGACTCGAGTGAACCCGCGATAATTTCACCATCTTGTTTGTGAAAGTATAAGAATTAACCCACACAACACAGATGATAACCGGAAATTTGGTGCCATAGCCCCTTTACGGAGGTACCAGCACAAAGTTTTACGCAATTTTTTTCGCAGGAAGTAACTTACGACTCGCTAATCTCGGCTGAAAAAATGGCTTGCTTTAGCTTTTGAGGGTCATTATTCAGAAACGTTTCTATAGCGCGTATTCGCAGTTTAAGTTTCAGAGAGCACCCAGACAAACGGGACGCAGAGGGGTTTTTGTGTAAACGCAGCTGCCCACGTGTACGTAAAACACAAGGACGTACTCGCCACGGACACTACGTTCGGCATCGCGTCCAAGCGCGCACCGCGTTAACAGAGAGTTTTAGTTTAGCGCACGCAAGGCGGTACGTGCGCAACGGCTAGCGCGCTATGTGCGTTACAGCTGAGGCTGTTTCTATCAGTATTAGTTTAGCGTAAGCGACAACACGCACATGGTCTGCGTTTAAACGTCAACTCTTTCATCTTCGAGTGCTACTTAGTACCACCTAGTGGCTAAGCAATAAACTACAATAGCCAATTATAGTTGACACGACTTAAGACGAGAGACACGCCAAGATTTCACAAGCAGCTCCGTCCGACCGCGGACATTTCGGGCGTTGAAGTGTATCCCCGTCAGCTCCTTATTTTCACAGAGATAACCACGGAAGAAGGAAAGATAGGAAAAAGCATGCCCAGCCGGCGCGCTTTGTCAAAAGTGTAGAGGAAATGACATCATGGCGGCCATATTCACTGGGCAGAACGATGGCGTTGCTGTGGTTACGTATTGCGCAGTGGAGCTGGTCTAGCAGTGAGCGGCCGCGGCTGGCGACGAATTGTGTGCCTCCCAAGGTTTCGCGCTGAGCCGTGGTGGACAATATCTATGCTCTGCGCCGCTTTATTGGTTACGCAATGTTCTCCTGGCAGTTACTGTACTCTTAGCAACGTTTACAAATCCTTTTGTCAATCACGGGGTTTCAACAGTGCGTAGAACGAGTGCATATCCATGTGTCGTGCAGCGGATGACGCGGATGAAGCAATTAGTGTTCAGCTAAATTGCATTGCGCACCATGACGAAGCGGAACGACGACGAACGCTTTGCAGGTCATTGATGGTTGGGCAGTGCTCCTGCTTGTGACAACGGACGACGCTGCTGAGTCCAGCAAGACACAACCAGGACCATACGTAGTTTCGTGTTGTGTGTGTACAGTAACAACTTTCACGTGCGTATTAAAACACCTTTTCTTTGCTGCTTCGTATCTCTCCCCCAGCATCGCATGTAATCTTAACGCAACAGCAACTGCGTTCAAGTGTCACTAGCACCGTGCTCAAAGTCACCATGGTCGCAGAATGTTGACGCAGGTGAGTTTCACGCTGAACACGGACACAATAGCTGGACGCTGCATCGGCCGCGCGGCGGAATGCAACCGTAGAAGGCCCACGACCAATCTTGTTGTCTGTACAGTTGCTGATTTAATGACGTGAAAACACTCACCATTGTGAGTGCATCTAGTGCACGTTCTCTTGTACTTGCTTCGTTGTCGGTGAGCTGTTACTCGCTGTTAATACTCGGACGAAATGATTTCGCCGAAGGTGTCGCGCTGGCCCATAGTGTTGAGCCCCTTTCCATTAGTTTCGGATCACCACGACACGCGCACGGCGCCGCTCACGTGCCTTCCGAGCCGGAAAGAGAGTCGTGCCTTCTGCTTTAGATTGGGATGTACACAAAAAAAGGAGAATTTGCCCATTCAATATGGCCGACTTCCGGCTTCATCGCGGCTTCACAACGAGTGACGTCCGGGCCTCTCCTACATATCCTTTCTCTGTGGGGATATCTGTTCATTGCAGGGAGTCCGCGAACGAATTTACGCTCATCAAGTAAGCAAGGAGCTCCAAATCGAGGGCAATCGTAAAATGCACGCGGGATTTACTAGCAGCCATGACCACACTGCTGCTTGTGCTGCTGTCATAGAGTGTATATGCAATCTCTAGAGGAAAAGCTCCCCATAGGGCTCATGCATTCAAAGCCATAACCACGCGGGTGCCGCCATAATAAAACGATGCTCGGCTTTCGGGTGACTTTCATGCGCAGTCGCCATTGCATGCTGCAATTACACAAGGCTTTCGCTCTCTTTCATGGATCTCTGTTACATCGCAGCAAAAGACTGTCACATGAAGTCGAGTTTTTGGCTCATGGCAACAAAAAACACGGACGCCGACTCTCCGGCGTGCAAGCTAGTCGGCGCAATCGGCTGCTCGCCCCATCACTATGCTCTCAACTCTACAAAAAAGGTGGTGCCATCCACTGAAAAACCTGCAAAGGCTCCTTTCTGTGCTTAGTACATTGGATAAATGGCTATTGTAGCTTTCTTGAAAGTAGTTTATATAAATTTTATACTATTTTTGTTTATATGTAGTACAAGAACATGTTTGTTTGCAATTTGTATTCTGAAAATTTGAGTGTTTCACACGTTTATGTTTGGCGCCTCTTTAAAGTACTTTGATGGTAACAATGACAACGTTCTAAGATGTCGGTGATTTTGTGGTTATAGCTAATGGAGGAAATAATGAACTGAAGAAAGACCGTTACGTTCCATTTTGTGAAGCTGGAAATTGCAAGGAAGAGTAGGAACACTCCTCCTTGCACTTTACGGCAGCTCGTGCATGCGCGACGGGTGCCAGCAAGAAGGAGGCACCGGCGTGCCCGGCGGCTCGCCTTTGTAAACTCGCTGCCCAGCTTAGAGTGTACTAGAAGTGTTGAGTGGCGAGACCGCGCCTCACCGCCTGATCCCTTCCGCGTTGCTCGTAGCAGCGGCGCTGCAGTTGAATAGTACTGAAAGAGCCGCGCGCCGCGTGCAGGAACTGTTATGCGTTTCAGCTCCTCAGTCACGCTTTCTTGATTCTGATTTCTTTGTACCTGCCCATCATTCATGTCTAGCACATATGCCGTAGTCCTTGAAGTATGACAGACGAATTTGCTGAACTTGAGCTCCATAAAAGCACTTGTGAGAGATCGAAAGTAATTCAGAAAGGCTGTGTCTCATACTGATTTCTTCTCTCTTAACTCTTTCTTCGTTGGTTACGCGTTTAAACTATGCAGAATAACTGAGTCGATGTATTCGAAGTTAGCTGCGCTCAGAAAGGTGTGAAATTAAAAAAAATACCGTTTCAAACGCACGCAGAACCAGGAGGCAGTTAGTAGAGAGGGGAGAGGGAGGGAACCTGAGCCCCCTACACCATGAAATTTTTTTCGTAGTTTAACTTTTTAGGGTGTACTAAAACATTTACACGCATTCACAGCGACCACTAATGGCAAAGTTTAGTGGTTCTGCTGCACCCCCCCCCCTCTCAAAAAAATTCTGTGTGCTTGCTCTGCGCCGAAGGTTTACACTTGGCGAAGCTGAATATAGCGTGTGTCTGTACGAATGCCCACTGTAAATTTTACCTTTTCCACAGTATGATGTCCTAAAACTAGTTCAAGTCTAACGTAGCCAGACGAGAAATGCACCACCTAAAAATAGCAGCTGTGCTAAGGGGCATTGCACCATGGATATTGTGAATGGGGTGGTGGCGCGTGACCTAAAAGCGTGAACTTATGGATAAACACATAAACACACACACACACACACACACACACACACACACACACACACACACACACACACACACACACACACACACAGGTGTATATATATATAATACGCTTGTGTGTTTTATTAAGTTCAATATGTATTTAGCCTTTTAGCCTTTCAGAAATCAATAATTATCATCTTCCGCAAAGCTGGCATGATAAAATTGAGTCGTCACCGATATAAATGTCGTAACAGCGTTACTTATACTCGGGTTTCTCGTGAAACGATCGAGTGCATGTAGGCTCATATAAGGAACACTGTGCTCTGCATATCGTATACACTGCCGACAAAACGAGCGTATCATTTAATAGCAGTATTGATACTTCTCCTCTCTTTGTAGTTCACCAGTAGCCACTTATGATGTAACGCAGCTCAAAGTGCTTGCTGCTTGAGTTAGAAGCTAGGCGGATCCGTGCAAATTCTGATTGACATTTTCTTTTTCTTTTTTGTGGGTTGGCAGGCTCTTTAAACAGTGAATGTATCGACGCAATTCCAGCCTGTCTGCATATTCACTCGTGCACTATGGCGCGTAGCAGGTGCGTCCCCTGATAAAGGCTCCGAAACTCATTAAACGCACTGAAAATGAGCAATTAGACGCTTTCGCAGGCTACGGCGCACACGCTCCCAATGCAGACGCTCCTGAGATCTTCAGTACCATGAGACAGCAGCGCCACCGCTACTGTCACCCGCCGGAGAGTCAGCCGAGATGCGGCGTGGCCGCCTCGTTCACTCCACTGCCCCCTTCTAGTACACTGTGCCGGCGTCTCTCTATTGCTGGCGCACGAGACGCCGGCGTGCCCACATTGTCCCACAACCACGTGCAAAAGCACGTGACGACTTCCGCCACACTTTACGCTCAGCCGCGCCCATTGCGAAGGGCCTCTCCTAAGCTTTACCGGTCTAGATTTCCTCAAGAGTCTGTATATTAACTCTATGGCTGCTGTTGGCCGCGGCGATCTTAGATTTTGTGCTCTCGCCAGGGAGATCTCACAAGAGCACCCTGCTAAAGCATCCAGCGGCTGTAGTGTGCGCAACGTAAGAGCCGAGATCTGGTGTACGCATCCCTCGCGTGCGCGATTGCACACATCTCTCTTACCTACAGCGCATCCGCAGCCGTGCTCCCTTCAAGGTGATGCGTGCGCTAGGCCGTTGCGCGAGCCAAACTTAAACTCTCTATAGCTACGGGGAGAGTACACGCAAGGAGTGCGGCAGCCAACGTCGAATCTCGGACGTAGGTGGTTCTCGGTTGCTTGCCCACTGCTGCAGTTCTAGTTCACTATACCTTTTGCTTACCCTTGAACCAAGTTGATGTTGATGTCGAGACGGGCTACATTTCGCTCGCAGTTGCATGGCACAAGCTTCAAAATTGATTTTCATTATTATCCAGACTGCATTAGTCACTGATGTATTGTACATGTTATGTGTACATGTAGATGTAGAAATTATGTGTAGATCTACTGTAAATGTAGTTGATATGTGTAGATGTATGGATGTAGATGTTATTGTTGTATTGTAGATGTAGATGTTATGTAGATGTTATGTTCATGTAGATGTCCTCTGTATACGATAAAAAATCTTTCTCACAAGTTATCTCATCGTGATAATTTTTGTCAGTACTTCTTTCAGGAAAATTAACGCCTTGATTTGTGAACTACAATTCGTTTACATATACTAAAATTGGCAGACCCCACGTACAGTGAAAATCGATGATATGCGAAGCACGAATAAGTAAGGTTTATATGTCAGTTTAAAATCAGCACAATGTTATGAGGCGGAGGTAAAGTACGCTGTACATGACTTCCATGTCATAATAGACCCTTTTCATAAATACGCCACCTGACTGTGAGCTTTTCGTCAGTTTCGCTTCGCAGAGGAGCGTGGGATAGCTACCGCCACCATGAGGGCATGGAAAGCGAGCCATCAAATGTGTCAGTGCTGTGATGTTTGTGTTGGTGGCTGATTCCCCGTGTCATCCGCAGCATTCGCACCGCTTTCTGGCTTGAACGAGCTCTAGTACCCTCCGATAAGCTTTTTAAGCTGCTTCCGCTGCACAAAGAGCAATATTTCGCACCCTTGAACGGGTTGGACGTGCAGTTTGGCTTGTTATGACTGGCAATGCAAGAGACTCTCATCCGGCCTGCAAGAGGCTCTCATTGGCGTGCCCTCCCGACGCGGTCCGCGTCCTGCAGAAACGCAAGACGTTTCTGTGTACACTGCAAGAAACGCGCTTCAGCGTTGCTGGGACACACTGCCTCTGTCCTGTGCTGCGGTGCCCTCACAATGGTGGTAGACTGTAGTTCGAGTCCGCAGCGCTAGGGACGCCCTTTTTCAAAAAGGGTCTATTATGTTGGGACGTGTCATTTACCTTCATCATCTATTCACGCCACCTGATACCAAATTTGGTATATGTAGAGCTAGCGAAACGACCGCGAGCGTGATTTTAGCGTAGCAAGTAATCATGTTTTACATGACACGCATATCATAATTGTCATGTTCGGGCGTGCCATATAACTTCGTCGTCTATTGGCGCCAATCATTACCTAATTTGGTATACGTGAGGCTGGAAAAATAGCCGCGAGCGCACCATGAGCGTGGCATGCAGTGATGCTGTTACATGACACGCACCTCATGATGATCATGTTTGCACCAGTCACATACCTTCGTTAGAGTGTACTAGTACACTACACCTTCGTCGTCCATTCATGTCCAGTAATACCAAACTTGGTATATGTGAAGCCAGCGAAACAGCAGCGAGAGCGTCATGAAGGGTTCAATATATTGTGACGTAGCGTTGACGCGCGCACGCTGGGCGCAGCGGCGGTATACGCTAGCAAAACGCGAACACTCTATAGTCTGACGCCAGACGCGACCAGCGTCTGTCGGCTCGGCCCGGCGGCAACCGGCGCAAAATGTGACATGCTTCATTTCGCACCGGCAACGTTACCCAGAATGCACCACGTTGGTCTAGCTTTGGGATGGAGGGACGTCGGGCGTGCTCAAACGCACATGCGTCAGAACAACGCAGTGCAGCGCATGTCTTTGAGTAAGGAGGAAGGAAAAACATAAGAGGGAGCATGACGTCACGCACCCAGCCCTGGCAAGCCAACCCGTTTTGAAGCCAAAGAAGTCGGCCCAACACATCACCTTTCGCGCAAAATCACGCCAGCAACCAGACTCGCCGGTACTTCGGAGTACAGCCCCCGGTAGCTTTTAATCGAAGCGCGCTGGTTCGGCGTAGACCGGCCGCATGACCGGCCGGCTCACGCAGGGGGTTCAACGGCGGACCAGCATTGAGAGTACTGAAACGTACAGCAAGCTCTGACGTTTTGATCACTTGTTGGGCTGACAAGGTGGGCTTCACTCGTGTGACGTAATGCCCCTCCTCTCTTTTCCTTCGTCCATGCTGCGAGTATATGCCAGGCAGATCGGCTCCTGGCGTGGCATCGCCGGCATGACGTGACGCACGAAACGAATGCTGCAGCACAGGTATGCCGGGTCACGTCGTAGCATATTGGTGCCTTGAGTGTGGCATGTATTCATGCTCTTACATTACACGCATCTCATAATTATTATGTTTGCACCAGTCAAAGCCCTTCGTCATCCATTCACGTGACATAATACCGAATTAGGCATATGTGAATCCAGCAAAAACGGCTCCGAGCGCATCATCAGTAACGCATGTATTCATGTTGTTACGTGACACGAATCTAGTATTATCATGCTTGTACATGTCATTTACATATGTCTTCCGTTCGCGTTACGTAATACTGAATTTCTTACATGTGGAGCTAGCTAAACGGCCGCAAGCGCAATATGAGGGTAGCATGTAGTCATGTTGATATGTGTGTTTGATGTCCCAAAACCACTATATGATTATAACAGACGCCATACTGTAGGGCTTCGGAAATTTTCACCAACTGTAGTTCTTTAACGTGCACCCAAATCTGAGCACACCAGCCTACAGCACGAGCCTACAGCCGGGATTGATCCCGCGACCTGCAGCTGAGCAGTCGAGTACCTTAGCCACTAGACCACCACGGTAGGGCAGCATGTAGTCATATTGTTACATGACAAGCATCACGTGGTTATCATGTTTGCACCTGTCACATCCCTTCGTCGTCCGTTCACGTTTCGTATTACCAAATTTGGTGCACGTCAAGCTAGCGAGACGGCTGCGAGTGCATCATGAGCGTGGCGTGTAGTGACGACTCATGACATACATGACATGCATGATTGCTACGTTAGGGTCTGTCACTTGTGCTCACTATGCAGTCATGCCATACAATACAAGTTTTGCAAGATATCATGTCAACAAAACCACCGCAAGAGCAACAAGGCCACGAAATGTGAATCATGACAATATGCTCATAGTACAGTCATGTTATGCCATACCAAATTTGGTATTGATACCATTAACGAAACGGCCAGTGAAGCTAAATGTCGTAGGCGGCCAAATAAATAGCTAAATGTCGTAGGTGGCCAAATAGATAGATAGATAGATAGATAGATAGATAGATAGATAGATAGATAGATAGACAGATAGATAGATAGATAGATAGATAGATAGATAGATAGATAGATAGATAGATAGATAGATAGATACGCTCATAGTCGCCGAAGTTCGCTAAGAAATGCTTCACATTTTAAAAAAAACCTGACTTACCGAGGCTTGACTCGACGACGAAAGGTATTTTGCCTCCAGGCCACAGAAGCCGATCCTCCGTTACTGCAGTGCGCTGCATAAGTCAGAGATAAGTAAGCTGCGTGAGCGCGCGCCATTCGCTTTACTGAGTAAGCACAGTTGTGATATTGTCACGGGGTCGTGACGAGGCCAAAGACACAAAACTTCGTGTTGGGATTTAACTGTTTATTTGGGCGAACCTGTGCCCGGTAAAAGGAAAGTCCAATTACAGCAGCAGTCTCGCACAGATAGCAGTCTCGGACTGATAGCGGCGAACGCAGCGTCGGCCTTCGATCAACAACTGACAAGCAGCGAAGCGCGTCGGCATTTATACCCTTGCCGTCGAATGTTCTAGCGTTATCGCTGGCGGTGGCGTAGGTTTCAGAACAATCTCTACCGTTCGCACAGTGGGCGTGATCTTATCGAAATGATCTACTACAGTCCGGAACCCTCTAGAAACCTGCAGGCGCGGCTTGCGCCGAGAATCGTGCGGTGCTTCGGAACGATAACAAAAACTTGTGAAATGGAACGTGGCATTGCCCCCCTCTGAAAAAAGGCATCGTCCCGATGCTTTAACTAACGATGAAGGTACAATAATAATGCAAGAAAGTACAATGAATAAATTACAATACAACAATAATACAAAAAAAACACTGTTTCAGTTTGTTAACGTCCATGAAACGGCTTGAGGCGCGCGACATGCACGACTTCAGGTCGCGATCGGCGTCGTTGAGAGTTCGTGATGCCGTCGGGGACAACCTCGTAATCAAGTGGGCCGAGACGTCGAACCACCTTGTACGGTCCGAAGTACCGTCGCAGAAGCTTTTCACTTAGTCCACGTCGGCGTATCGGCGTCCACACCCAAACACGTTCACCGGGCTGGTATTCCACGAAGCGTCGTCGAAGGTTGTAACGGTGGCTGTCGGTCGTCTGTTGATTCTTGATACGAAGACGTGCAAGTTGTCGAGCTTCTTCGGCGCGTTGAAGGTACTCGCTCACATCGAGGTTTTCTTCGTCGGTGACGTTGGGTAACATGGCATCGAGCGTCGTTGCCGGGCTCCTTCCGTAGACCAATTTGTATGGAGATATCTGCGTCGTCTCCTGCACCGCCGTGTTGTATGCGAAGGTCACATACGGAAGAATGGTGTCCCACGTCTTGTGTTCGACATCGACGTACATTGACAGCATGTCGGCGATCGTCTTGTTAAGCCGCTCGGTGAGGCCGTTGGTCTGTGGGTGGTACGCTGTCGTCCGGCGGTGGTTTGTTTGGCTGTATGCCAAGATCGCTTGAGTTAAGTCGGCAGTGAATGCCGTTCCTCTGTCGGTGATAAGGACCTCCGGGGCGCCGTGACGTAGGACGATATTTTCGACGAAAAACTTAGCTACCTCGGATGCACTGCCTTTTGGCAGGGCTTTTGTCTCGGCGTAGCGGGTGAGGTAGTCAGTAGCTACCACGATCCACTTGTTTCCGAAAGCCGACGTCGGGAACGGCCCCAGTAGGTCCATACCAATCTGCTGGAAAGGTCGGCAAGGTGGATCAATTGGCTGCAGAAGTCCCGCTGGCCTTGTCGGCGGTGTCTTGCGTCGCTGACAGTCCCGGCATGTCCTCGCATAACGAGTGACGTCGGTGGTAAGACGTGGCCAGTAGTACCTTTCTTGTATCCTCGCGAGCGTGCGGGAAACACCGAGGTGCCCTGCCGTCGGATCGTCGTGCAGGGCCTGCAGGAGTTCTGGTCGCAGAGCTGAAGGCACCACAAGGAGGTACTTAGCTCGAAGCGGTGAAAAGTTTTTCTTTTGTAGAAGACCGTTTCGTAGAAAGAACGACGCAAGTGCGCGCTTGAATACCTTCGGGAATTCGGCGGTCCTGCCTTCGAGGTATTCTATTAGGGCTTTAAGTTCCGGGTCGGCCCGCTGTCGTTCAGCGAAGTCGTCGGTAGTTATCGTTCCCAAGAAGTAGTCGTCATCCGAGTCGTCGGGCAGCGGTTGGTCGACAGGCGCACGAGAGAGACAGTCAGCGTCGGAGTGTTTTTTGCCGGACTTGTAAATGACAGTAATGTCATATTCTTGAAGTCTCAGGGTCCATCGTGCGAGGCGACCTGAAGGGTCCTTCAAGGTGGCTAGCCAACACAAGGCGTGGTGGTCGCTCACAACTTTGAAGGGCCTGCCGTAGAGGTAGGGGCGAAATTTTGACGTAGCCCAGATGATGGCGAGGCACTCCTTTTCTGTTGTGGAATAATTTGCTTCTGCTTTGGATAGCGATCAGCTGGCGTAACTAATAACCCTTTCAAGTCCGTCAGCCTTCTGCACAAGAACGGCGCCAAGACCTACGCTGCTTGCGTCAGTATGTATTTCTGTCTCGGCGAATTCGTCGAAATGGGCAAGTAACGGAGGCGTCTGGAGGCGATGTTTAAGCTCCTGGAAAGCGTGTTCCTGTGGCGTTTCCCACTTAAACTCCGAGTCGGCCTTGGTAAGGTTAGTGAGAGGATTGGCGATGCGGGCGAAGTTTTTTACGAACCGCCTATAATAGGCGCACAGGCCCAGAAATCGGCGAACGGCCTTCTTGTCAGTGGGCGGCGGGAAATCGGCGATGGCGGCTGTTTTCCGTGGATCGGGACGAACTCCAGACTTGCTGCATAACGTGCCCCAGAAACAAGAGCTCCTCATACGCAAATCTGCACGTTCCATTTCACAAGTTTTTGTTATCGTTCCGAAGCACCGCACAATTCTCGGCGCAAGCCGCGCCTGCAGGTTTCTAGAGGGTTCCGGACTGTAGTAGATCATTTCGATAAGATCACGCCCACTGTGCGAACGGTAGAGATTGTTCTGGAACCTACGCCACCGCCAGCGATAACGCTAGAACATTCGACGGCAAGGGTATAAATGCCGACGCGCTTCGCTGCTTGTCAGTTGTTGATCGAAGGCCGACGCTGCGTTCGCCGCTATCAGTCCGAGACTGCTATCTGTGCGAGACTGCTGCTGTAATTGGACTTTCCTTTTACCGGGCACAGGTTCGCCCAAATAGACAGTTAAATCCCAACACGAAGTTTTGTGTCTTTGGCCTCGTCACGACCCCGTGACATCTGGTGGAGGTGCTGCTTCGTTCATGTACCGGACGCCCCCGTCAAGCCGTGAACCCAGTCCCCCTCGCGGAGAAGACACCGACGCCAACCAAGAGCAGCGAACGAGCCGCCGACAGCAAGGTCTCCCACCGGAGTACGGCCTGCTACAAGACAAGGCGCGGAAGACCAAGACCATGACCTCGACTGCAGCGACAATGACAACCGGAGCGTCCCAGCCCGCGATCGTCATTCATCAACCCAGGGACCACCAACGTTCCATGGCTCATCGTACGAAGACCCGGAAACCTGGCTAGAAACATACGACCGTGTGGCCGCCCTCAACCACTGGGACAACGAAGAAAAGCTCCGTCGTGTGTACTTCTACCTGGAAGACACCGCAAGGACCTGGATAGAGAATCGGGAGTCCACGCTCCGAACGTGGGATGTCTTCTGCGGCGCATTTCTTCAAACGTTCGCAAGCGTCGCTCGCAAAGAGAGGGCCGCTGCTCTACTCGAGACCCGGGTTCAGCTACCAAACGAAAAGGTTGGAATTTTCACAGAGGAGATGACCCGCCTATTCCGTCACGCTGACCCAGACATGCCTGAGGAAAAGAAAGTTCGTTTCCTCATGCGAGGGGTCAAACAGGAGCTCTTCGCGGGACTAATGAGGAACCCACCGAACACCGTCCAAGAATTTGTATCCGAGGCGACCACCATCGAAAAAACGCTGGACATGCGCACCAGACAGTATAATCGTCGCCTGACTCCAGAATGCACTGCTGCTCAAGCCAGTGACTCCGACGACCTGCGTGAAACGATCCGAGCGATCGTGCGGGAAGAGCTGCGCAAACTGTTGCCTTCGGCGCAGCCTCAAGTGGATTCAATCGCCGACATTGTGCGAGAAGAAGTCCGGCAATCGCTTCGAATTCCCGAAACACCGCCGCCCGAGCCAGAAACTATGAGCTACGCCGCTGCAGTGCGCCACAGCGCTCCTCCCCGTCCACGCCAAAACGCCGCCCCGTCACACTTCCGTCGCCAGACGCCACCGCCGCCATCACCCCAACCGACGTCCTACCGTTCCCCAGCGGGCCAGCGCAGTGCACCGAGAAAAACGGACGTTTGGCGGGCACCTGACAACCGCCCGCTCTGCTACCACTGCGGCGAGGCCGGGCACACATACCGCCGTTGCCAGTACCGACAGATGGGACTGCGTGGCTTCGCCGTCAATGCACCGCGTCCGCAGCCAGGAGATCGGCCACGTGACATCGCCGACTACCTGGCAGGAACTCAATGGACACCACGAAGTCCTTCCCGTTCGCCGTCGCCCAGCCGCCGCATGTCACCACACCCCCGGCAGTACTCTGGCCCAACGCGGGGCCGGTCTCCTAGCCCGTATCCGGGAAACTAAGGGCAGCAACCGATGGAGGTGCGGTTGCTGTGCGACGAACTACCGAAGATCCTCCGACGACGACGCCGACGCGACGGAGCTTTTTGAACACAACCCCAACCAGGAAAAGCCCCGAAGGCAACAGCTCACTTACCGAAGGTGGCCGGACGACGCAACATGAAAGCAGCGGAACAAGCCGACGCAGCCGTGACCCGACGCCACGCCCTAACTGTAATGCGAGACGGCGAACTAGCGACCTCGACGTTCTTATCGACGGCCACAGTGTGACCGCTCTCGTCGATACTGGAGCCGACTATTCTGTCATCAGTGGGTCGTTCGCCGCGAAGTTAAAGAAAGTTGGGACAGCTTGGAAAGGCCCTGAAATCCGCACAGCCGGAGGTCATCTCGTAACGCCTGCAGGAATCTGCACAGCGAGAGTCACCATTAACGGCCGTATTTATCCTACAGACTTCGTAGTCCTACAGCGTTGCTCGAGAGATGTCATCCTTGGCATGGACTTCTTATGCCTCCATGGTGCTGTCATCAACCTAAAAACAAGGTCGATAACGTTATCCACAGAAGAAGCACTACCGCCGCGCACGCCGTCAG